AATCTTCTTAAGGAAACAAAATCAGTATCTGCTCATTTTTTGCAAAAAAAAAAATAAAAAAAAAAAATGTGCAAATCTTGAGAAAATTCGGACTTTCACTAATGCTCCGTAATTTGGTTAGTCATGTATTTTAATAAAATATTGACATAATCCTAACAAATATCAAATCTTTTTTATTTTAGTTATTTAGAATCCTAGAGCATCTATACTTTCTCATTGATAAGTGAACAATTAAAATTAAGAAATAACAATTTGGATAATTACTTTCTCAACTATTTTAAAAATAATTTATCCTATAAATTACGTATAATAGTATATGGATAATTATTTGTCCATTTTTCTACAATACAATCAATATAACCTTCCCACAGTATGAGATGAATTTTTTTTTTTTCTCCAATATAAAAGTCACAGTTGTTGAACCTCTCATACAATTTGATTAACTGCATAGGCGCACTAGACAAAGTAGTAAGATTTCTATAGCATCGATATGTTTTGTTTATGTTTTGCGATTCTTACTAAAGTTTTATGTTTTATGACTTGACCAAATCCATCTCAGTCTGCAGATATTTTGACACATTGTGTGATTGTACACAATTTTTGCAAAAATATCAGTTATGAGGAAGACAAGTGCAGACAACAGTCATCCCAACAGCAATCAAAGCAAAGGAAACAAACGACCAAGGTATGAAACAAATAATACGCATGGTTCCTCCCAACAAAGATCAGAAGTCGGAAAGAAAAATATTGGTGCTGAATATAAGGAAAAAGGTATCAATTTTATGTTTGACAAAAATTATATAATGACAGAGAAATAAGTAAGCAATTTATTTTATGAAAAAGGTATAAATTTTATGTTTCTCAAGACGTATATGATAACGGAAAATAAATATAAGCAATTGTTTTTATTATTTGTACCTACTATGGGTTAGGGTTATGTGTTATGAGGATGTTATATGTTTTGATGGTCGCCTTTTTGATTTTGTCGATTTATGTGCCGTCTCGCATTATCCTCATGCATGAAATAAATTGTATAAGCAAATTAACATGTTGGAAATAAGAATTAAAGTTCGTTGTGAAATGTGAACAAAATTTATATTAACCAAATGCAAAACTTGAAACTTGTCTTAAGCATCAATCCTAAACTTTTGTTAGCTAGCACATTGTTTCCCAACAAAGTGTGTAGTTCAATCCATAGTATCACAATGAAATTGGAAAACAAAATACATGTTATAAGTTTTATCGCATCAATCGCAACATCATATATTAAACATTATATATTCAGTCAACATAAACACCATCATATTACACACTAATCACATTTTAGGAATTTCCATCATATGCATAGACATATATTTAAGATATGCTAACTCATCAACATATGATGTGCATAAATCCAACAAAATCTGAATCTTATTTTTTTGTAACAAATTTGGAGATTTTTATACTATAATCTGAATCCCCTTTTTTGTATTATTTTTTATTTTTACCAAAATGTGAATCTCATTTTTCTGTAACAAATTTGAAGATTCTTATGCAAAAATGTGTCAATTATTTATGAAAACAAATCCAGAAACAAATTAATATAAAAATCGTGCAAATTAGATACAAATTT